AGTTCTAGACAAAAGGAAAAGCAAAGAGATTGAAAATAAAGAAAGGTGACATCTGCGCCACCATCTGAGGTTTATTACTGATAGTACATGAGCTGCTGCGCTGCGGCTACATTCTGAAAGCCACCGTCGTACATGGCTGCAGTGGCTCCAGCTGCATTGATTCCATGAGCTGCCTGCCTTAGAGTGTGTTGACCCTGTGGGTGCATTAAAGCCATCTTGCTTAGATTCAACTGTCTCTCATAGGCTAAGAGATCCGCTGCAGACAGACCAGGCATTGGTGCTGGGGCAGGTGGAGGAAGTGGGTTTGAGGCTGTTCCTGGTGGGGTTGGTTTGCTTCCCCATGAGCACTACAATCAAAATGACAACAGAATCAAATGTCAGATTACATTCCAAGTATCGTCTTTAGAGATGTAAGATAATTTTAGGAGCAGTGAGATCAAATAGAGAGAGGGTTTTGCTATGGTAAAGGTACCTTAATCTGTCTGTTAAAGAGGTAAGGCTGAGAGTTGCCCATCTGAATAGCAAGAGCAGCCTCGGGATGCGTGTTATATCTCACGAAACCAAAGCCTTTGTCTCGTTGGACACGGACCTCTTCAATAACTCCAGCACCAAGAGCATGGAAGTAGCGGTGTAGATCAAGCTGAGTTACCTGCCAGATATAGTGGATAGCTTGTAAGAGGTACCAGAATCTACTGATGCCGTAATTCATCAGAGAGCCATAAAAAAGCTGTCTTTGTTATGATAGTGAACCAAGTTACAAGGAGAAGTTCCTTGAGAGAGTGGACTTACCTCAGGAGCGAGGTTTCCCACATAAACAGTGGTATACTGAGAGTTGTTCTCAGGAGCATCCTCATTTAAGGTCTCTTTACCATCCTCTGCACAATTAAACGACAAATGTAGCTTTTTAAGCTATGAGAGTTTCATATTACACAATTAAAAACAGTACAGAGCTCACATGTGTTTCACGAATTCCACTTAATTGAGAAAGAAACAAAAATCAGAGTATGGACAGTATTAGATAGACAACCTGAAGAGCCAGTCGTGAGTTCCACAACACTTTTTCCATCAGAGCTGTGCTTGTCCTCACCAGAAGTGGCGCCTTTCGTCGCCCAGTTGCATCTGATCTGTCGGCTACTTAACCACTTACCTGAAGAGAGGTGATAGAAAATAAGAGTTAAGTTCTAGAAGCTGGCCACGATTGGAACAAAATTAAAAACAACACCAACAGCTCTTAACTAAGATACAAAAAACATACAGAATCCTTCATGAGCTACTCTTTCTAGGCACAGTGTCATTCATTTAACAAAGCCACAGAATTAACAAAGCCGAGTTCACAAAAAATATTGAAGTCCTGAGATCTCAGCTACTATACAATCCTTACCATTCATCTCATTTATGGCAGTTTGAGCATCCTGCAAATTAAATTAACATTTCAAATCAATGTAAGACCACGAATAATCCTCGAACTTATAAAAATATACACCTCGTGATTTAAAGAATATACAGTACCTGTTGATTGCGGAAGGAAACGAATCCAAAGCCTCTTGAGCGCCCAGTTTTTTGGTCCCACATAACTCTTGCATCACTTCAAGTGAAAAAAGATAATAGGCTCAGTTAGAGATTAAGAGTTGAACAAAATGTTTCAGCAGATAAGCTTTCATCAACAGGGGAATTTCGTATTCCCGAGAATCATTTAGTTAGAAAATCCTTTTTTTAACAACAATGTAGAATTCGTTAAAAAAGAGTTTGATCGAGCATGAGAACTTACGAACAAGTGGAAAAAACAGAAAAGCTTTGGTACAATGCCGCATCAGTAACCTCTGGACTGAGATCTCCAACAAAAATGTTGAAATGGCCTGCAACTCATGGGAAACAATAGCATTGACCACCATCCATGCTTTTATCAAAACAAACAAATGACCAAAATTCAACTCTTTGAAAAACCTAAGCTTACTTGATGTATCTTCCCTCTGACCGGTGGCATAAGCCCAATTGACTTTAATAGGCTGTCCAAACCTGTAACCTCAAGTATTATAACCAAAGAGAAAGCGTTCATAAAATAAAGAGAAAGAACAGTAACTGTTGATAACTGTTTCTTACAAATGCCTTCCATTCAGAGACAGTATAGCCAAACCAGCGGATCTTCGGTCAAAGTAGTGAACAAATCCATATGATGACTGTAAAATCAAAAAGATCCAAAATTAGTAAGCTTGAGAAACCCAATTTAAGCAAAGAAGCAAACTACAGTATTTCTTAAGCATACACATCTCTGCAGTTGCTTAGTTATGCTCGTCCAAAACAAGAATGATACTTTATAAAAAGAGGGTCGCTTTCACAATCTTTACACAATAAAGAAAGAACGAAAATTTTGAATCTCTCTTTACCTTATCCTTTCTGATGAGTTTACTGCTCTCAACAGGGCCAGTGCTTGCAAAAATCTCTTGAAGAAGAGGCTCTGTGACCTGTGTGTGGATGTTTCCAACATACCTGAATGATTATAGAAGTTAAAACATTAACTCAGAGCTGCACATTGCGAAGTAATAATTACTCAAAAAACCAAATTCACTCACACGCTACGGCAAGTACTGGGATCAAAACCAGGAGGAAGGTTTCCACTTGGAACAGGCTCTAACTGCAAATGCCAAAGCCAAAAAATTAAAAAAATTGGATTGAAGCACAAAAAGAATTAACATTTCTTTTCTATCTCCATGAGCTAAATAAGGTAATTATCAGCTCAGGGAAATTCAAATATTTCTTCGTATCAACAAAATTGATGCTTATAATTGCTATAGCCTACAGGATCTGGAAAGTGGAAACCCTAGCTCTCCATCAACTAACTGTTTCAACAGCTAGAAATTATAAAAATGAACACAAAGATGTATCCGTAAGAACGATCCATAGCTTCAAAATGATGAACACAAAACTAAACCAAACCCAGAAAAATAAAAAAGGACCCATGAGAGAAGCGATAGTGTAGAAATGAAATTGAGACTTTAAAAAACTCCAATTTCGACCCAAAATTAGACACATCGAAGATGTAATAAAAGAAACCTGAGGAGGAGCCAAAACACCAGGATGGTAAAGAGAGTGTTGTTGCATCATAGCTTGTTGCTGCATCAGAGC